CTATAAAGTACATTTCTAGATGCAGCGGCTTGTCTAAAGATCCTTTAGTTGATTTAATTATTTCAAGGCAACTTGATGTCTGCAATGATTTCTCTTCTAAGGTACTAACTGATCGATTTCATCCACTTCACAATGATCTTTCCGAAACGTTCCCTTTCTCTTCTATTCGTTCGAAATTCAGAATTTTATTCTCCCGCACGTCATCGTATCGTAATACTGTTTGCCTTATCTCTCATGTTAGCTTGTTGACCCAGCGAAAGTCACTATTATGCTGCGCAAGCGGTTGTTGTGGTAACAGTTGTGCATTTTCCCCATTTTCTTCCCAAAGAGGTATATTGACAGTATCATCCAGGTGTCCGCAATGGTGGTGTAAATGCTGAAAATGAAAACATTAAAGTCTATAAAGCTTATTTTGACTTAACTTCACCTCGGTGGAGTATTGTACTCCGGCACACAATCATACAGATCGTGCAACATGCTGGTCTTGCGCGCACCTTGGAATCGCTCGATATCGACGTTTGTAATTTTGCGAAATATGCTTAAAAGATCCAAGTACTTTGTTTGAGTTGTGATCTTCCATCGACCACGGAGCCATATTTCAGCTATCTATCTGGTGACGCAGAAGCAGCCGCAGTAGGCTGCTGGTGGTGGTGTAGCGTTAAATTGTAAAGTCGAGGCCGCACTGCTGGGCAGGTTTCCGATTAATAGCCAACTGTGTGAAGTTCGGTTTCGGGAGTAATGCAGGGTCAACAGATGTCGCGAGGAGAGACGCAAATTGTTTGTGATCTAAGCTTACATCCCAAATGACTGAAGTTGAGACTCGGTCAAGAACAACTACTACCGTGAATTGCACCAGCTCTTGAAAAGAGCTTGCGAATCCTTGCTAGGGAACTCGACGCAGGAGCCGGTCGTCTATGATCAAATTAAAGTCACCTCAGCGGTCACCATGGATACAATGAGAGCCGCTCAGATAGTGGAGAGACTACTCACACTGTGTGAAGACAATGGTCTGTTTGTCTCGAGCACCAGCCTTTGGCATTCGAGGAGACGTTCGGCTACTTGATGACTCCCATCAGCGTCTCAGATTGATCATATTGAAATCAATTGCAGATGGCGGGGTAGTGTAAAGGATTGCAGATAAATTCGGTATACATTTCTTGACGCATACCATGCTCTTGTCTGTGCGAACATCTGCATGAGTTTCGGAGTCCCCGAAAGAATCATTAAAAGAAGATACAAATCAATTATCTACTCCCTCAGTTTAGCGAAGCTATCAAGCCCCTCTGACCGATGCATTTAGGTGCGACCCAACGCAAGACATTGATGAACGCTGGACGTTCATGCAAAGGACCATGGTCTCTCCTGGGCAGTTAGTCTGTGGTCTTACTCAGCACCCTATGAAGGTCTGGATCTCCAAGCGTTCCCTGGATCTATTTGAAAATCGCAGGAATATCCCAGTGGAGCGCAATCATAATGAAATGCGCCGTTCTGTCAGTCGGCAGCTCGAACAAAGCCTACGCAGTGATCGAGAAACCTGGTGATCTCAGCGTGCTTCCAAAATGGAGGCCGCTGCCCTCTCCTGTAATACTCGCAAGCTCTTCCAGCTAACTCAAACCAATGGACACAGGTAGCCTTGCGTCAGTGAGATCATTTGCGAAGTGGATGGTTCGCGGATTGCCTACCTTCAGAAACGCTTGGGTCGATGATTTTCATTTCCAGTTCAGTTGGCCCTCAGTGTCCATTTGCATGCTCTGTGTTATAAACGTCCTAGTTAGATTTCGACTCTCCTAGTCGGAACAGACGAACTCTTTCACTCATTGTTTCCCACGCGCATAGTAGTCTAGACGATTCATATTGAAACAGCTGGTGAACTTAGCCGGCAGATGTGAACTCGTAACTGAGAAGGCAGACGAAACGCGTAGACGCCGCACAATTATACCGCAGACTGACCAATAATAAGTGCTTTTAATGATTCAGCCAAGACAACCGTGCTTTCTACACTTCGTATTTATAGTTCACTAAAACGGTAGTAATTGTATAAACTAAGAGAAGGCGTATGTTTGTTGGCAGGTGAGTTGCCATGTAGTGGTCCTATCTCCGGTGAGAATTGGGTGGGTTCAATGCTCCTGAGGCATTGGGCACATCAAAGTTGCTGAGTGTGCTCGGTGGCTAAGGCATTGGCATGAACACGGTGCAGGAGGCAGGCTGTTCACTTGAGAAGAGTCCAGGAGATACGACAGTGAGATAAGGGCGAGTTCAGTGAAAACTGCGAGATACATTGGCCGTGTTCTCACTAAGGGTAACTCCATTGTGATATGTGCAGATGAGTAGACCCTTGGCGGCAGTTCCCGTAGGGAAAGCTCCGCTCTGCATAGCGACCGTGTTGTTCGGATCCGATAGTAAACTGGCGCTCGTGAAATCCGTTGAGTTTGGTAGGGCTGTGCCAGCCCTGTAGCACTCTGCAAATTCAGCTGCCTGTCCTGGGTCATCACACCTGATCCATCTAGCGAAGCGAAAGTCTGTCTTGCGATTCGACACTTGGAACGACTCAAGTCTGCCAGCTCAGATGGACTTCCTCTGGAGCCATGCAAATATAGAGGTGCGGTCATCAACAGCCATCTAACCATATTGCACTAAAAAATCTGGCATGAAGAAAAGGTGTCTTCTTCCTGGAATTGATCAGTTGTCCCGATTTTTAAGCTTGCTCGCCATTTCGGTGCTGATCCCCTGGGGATTTAGTCTCCTTCCGTTTGCCCTCAAGTTATTGGCATCCATTTTACTTTATGGACTCTCCCCTATTCCACTAATATGAATCAATATCAAAAATTAGTTCAGGGTAAAGAATTCTTTTCGGTAAACTCTCATCAGACCCAAAACTTTAGATAATACTGATTTTGGGGAAAGCATCAACTTGGACTGGGATTGACTTCTGGACTGTTTGAAGGATCAAAATCGATAACTTGAGACAGGAATCTAGCTGGTATGCCAAGTGAACTAAATAAACATACACACAATACTCAGTAGTCCGAAGTAATTAGGTAGGTAACGTAACAAACAAATAATTAAATAAGTGTCCGTTGGCCAAGGTAGTAGCGTCGGCCGTATGAATCATTTTTGTACACATAATTCCGGCTTCAGATGATGAATGTAGGTAGCGTCGGCGATGGATAAGAGCTGCTTGTGGAATTCTTGGGAGAAATGTTCAAGTAGCGAGTAGATGAGTTTGAAGTCATTCTCTGAAGCTGCATGGCCACATTCAAGGTGTAACAGGATTGAGCTGTCTGAGGACCTCATTTCGCCTTTGTAAAACCATGCCGTGATGTGCTCACGAATCCTATGAGATAGGCACTTTGTCGTGCGACCCACATATCATGCATCACAGGATCACGAATACTGAGTAATAATCGTGAAACAGAGTACCAGGAAGAAGGAGCTAGCTTCCGACCTGGCCGATGATCTGTGGATCAAATCCTCGAATACCGCCACCTCTATCATAGACCCACAATCGTTGCCTTCCTAGACATCCGTGCTGCATTCGACTCATTTGAGCGACCTGCGCTATGGCGTTGTTTACTACAGAACGGGGTCCCAGGAAAGTACACTGCCACCCAATGCGCACTCTACCTCCACATCTGGCAATGTGAGGGTTTGTGGCAAATATTATTCGTCTCTCGTTGTTAATAGCGGTGTATGACAAGAGTGCCATATGTCCCCGTTCCTCTTCAGTTCTAAGATTGAAGACGTCCTGTTGAGAGCTCCGGAAAGTTGCCGAAATTTTGATCTGTAGCTGCTACCGGGTAAACGTGCAACCGAATTAGATTATGCCGATGACATCGCACTACTTGGTGACGACACGTAGAGTATGCAAACTATACTAAACCGTTTGGCGATTGAGGGATCTAAGTACGGAATGTGCTTCGCCCTGTCGTAGTGTACAGTGCTACTCCGGGATTGGCAGTCGCTCGTACCCGTGCTCACTCTTGAAAGTACACAGCTTGATCACGTGGGCAGCTTTGTCTACCTGGGGAGCTGTGTGTCTACTGGTAGCACTATTTGGAAGGAAGTTTACCCCCGCATCGCTAAAGCTCGACCCTTGTTTGTCAACCTGAAGCAAGTGTAGAGTAGTCTGGATGTCTCCGTCTTGGTAAAAGGTTGTGTTTACAATGCCACAGTTCGGGCAATGTTGCTATATGGAAGCGAGTCGTGGACAGTTCGCTTGGATGACATGCGCCGGCTCTCGGCCTTCGAGAATGGGTGCTGGAAGAGAATTGCTCGTGTGTGTTGGCAACAATGTATCTGCAACAATGAAGTCAGACATGGTGTTTTATGGAATGCGATTATCCCCTGTAACAAGCTTGTTTTGCCATGCAAATTAAGATGGCCCGGGTACATGCTGCGTTTTCCCTACTGCGCACTTTTGTTCGTGCACGACTTGGCTGGAAAAGACCACGCGATGTTCATCCATCCCCCTAGCGACAACATATGAAATCGCTGACTTCACGTCTTGCTGCCGTTGAATCCACACGCCTACCTGGTTGGGGATCAAAGAATGAGGAGTGCGGATGGCTGAACACAATTCAGGATACAACGCGCAAAAAACCAGTGGAAGAGATGTGCGCATACCTATTTAAATTCAGATGCCCACTGCTTAACAATTAAAAAGATAAAAAAGGAAAAGGTGGCATGTGTAAAATAGTGAACAAATGCTCCGAGCTTTCTTGCGGCACAACAGCTGAAATGTGTTGCTCACCTTCAGCTCGTGTGCCATGATGATGATGCAACGATTCAGCCTGAGTTCGTCCGTTGGTTTCCATGGTTTTTTGACTCTATATCTATTCGTTAAACTGTTGCTACGAGTACAACTACTAAATCTGCAGATCCATCGGTTCGACCAGTGACAAAATATTATGACAGCGATGGTAATCGCTTGCGCTCAACGTTCCAAAACTTACCATGTTTCTTCTACCCCTCACCCAACCGCCATACTTCATGGCAAGAAGTGAACGGAACTGATTTATTTACAGGTAGAGGTACAAAATGGAATGAGGATACTAGCGTTTCCCAAGAATATTGAGGAACTTCCCCCGAGTCATTTCCTTGGCTTAGAGAAAAAAAGTTGCGTGGGAAGTCGTTGCTCACCTTCCTCCAAACCAACCTGATAAGCCAGATTCTGTAGATGCTTAATTTTATCCATCAACTGCTGTGTGGACAAGCTGCCAAAATCTAAGAGTTTTCAGAATATACTGCTGTGTACCATGAATTAATTCAAGATCTTCCTTATCTAAATCAGTGGCATACTTTGGAGGTGTTTGCAAACTGATCTCATTCTGACGCAGCGACAAAAATTCGGATGCTCCGGGGACTGAAAAACGTCAAAGGGTGATAACAGTACTAACTTTGCTCGGGCCACAGGTCTGGTGAAGCCCGATCCAAGTTATCTTCACTTATCAAGCACTGATCAGGCTTTTCCTCCATGAATTAAGAAGAGGCAATAGACACTACAATTGCAGAGCAATTCCGAAGAAATATCGCCTAGACGCTGGAATGGGAAGCAAGGAAAATATGATGGGCAGATGCATCCCGCGGAGGGGAATAAAGCAAGTAATGGGTAGAACTGAATTATCTGAGATGAGTGAACGATATTGAGAGAAAACATGCATAAAAAACAGACGTTTTATTGTAGTGTTGAGGCAAAGAATTGAAAAACTGCTGATGCAACAAAGATATTGACATTAAATGGGACATAATACACCGGCCAGTCGGTCCGGTAATAAAGCCAGCGACTAACTGAGAGACAAGAGCTTGGAGTTGACCTTCACGGTCCCATGCTGATTGCATCCTAACTCACACAGGCTGCAGCCGTTGGCAAAGAATATTTCCGTTCGTGAAAATCGCGTTCAGCAAGTGCCAATAAAAGAAAAGGAGTTTATCACACATACAGACATGTTAGTGGTAAGTGGGCAACGCAGATTTATTCAAGAAGGCATGAAGCGTGAGAAGCAGCAAAGAACAGTTATAACACCGCCTACAAAGCTCAAGAAAGTGAGTGGATTCCACCGATCCACGCGACGTGAAGGATGGCAAGTTGGAGACCGAAAGCTGTGCTGAGCATGTGAACGCATTGTACAATCTTGCGGATCAGTACCGGGATTATCATGTTTTCTAATGCTGAAGGGATAACATTTGAGATGTTCTTCTGTATGAAGTGTTAGGGCATTGGAAGCTGACGTGATACAGAAATCCGATGTGACGTAAGCGCATGAATCCAACCTCCATTCATGGCTGCGAAATTTAATGAAACGGGGATCCCGATGGCCAAAAAGACCGCCTCCAAAAGAATCAGTCCATTTTGTTGATTTTTAGGCTCGATGACAAAAAATATTCGTTCTTGCCATTTGGCTTACCAATGACCGCATTCTGGACTGACTGCACTTTCCCAATGACCCAAGCACAACCTATCCGGCGTAACCCCCAACGATTCTCTTTCGTCTTACCTACTACGTTGTCAACAGCTTGGTTGATTGATGGACACACATAACACTGGTGAGGGGGCCTAAATCGGATTCAATAATGTCATTCAGCGGAAATGGAGAGCAAAACTCCAGCAATAGCAAGCGCATCTCGAGCAGTCCCCCTCGCTTCAACTAAGAGTTCCATCAACACGCCATAGCTTAGTATTTGTAATCGTTGTTATTGTATCTACTATTTCAGAGTTTCATTTCGAGCCTACATCCGATTTCGCCCACTAATCGTTGAGTAGGAACATCGAGTAAAAGTTCGAGAACTAGCCTGGAGATAAACATGGTGCGTGGAAATCCCGTCAGTTCATTCGGAAAATAAGAACCATCGAGTAGTACTGTTTTCCCAGGTTCATTTTCCCAAATTAACTGAGAGTTGGACTCTAAATATTCAGTGAAACAATTGTGTTAGTCTTTTGGTGACTAACTTGCAGTCTTCAAAGTGTGATGTCACTGTCTCAAGTTGAACAGGAGTGATACAGACAATTGTGTCACTCATGCGTGCATCGTAAATAGTGAGTGTGAGGAAATTCAATCGCAGACGCCCACAGAGGGTAAGTACAAATGTCTAACTCTTGTTGCTAGTCTTCTCAAGAAATTTGGATAGCTGCAGTCTATTGCTTTCCAAACTTAAGCATCACCGAGCGCCGTCTGCCTGGTCATAAATAAGAGACTGCTATCGTACAAAAGTCACGACCCTAAGTAGTGTTCATGCACCGACAAGAGCAAGCGTACAATCTACCATGTCCATAAACGTATTGTTGGTCGTGTGGCGAAGAACATTATGCCCCCTGTTGTCCACTTAAGAAACAACAATATCAACGATGTGGCCACAGAAAAGGCTTCTATCGTCCCGTCCATATTAACAAATCAACCACTAGAAGGAGTGTATGGCCAAACTAAAAGGACCCGCAGTCCACTATCTATAACATTCGGAGTCGAGTTTGAATTCAGAGGAAAACGTTTGTCAGTTTCCATTAATTGTTGCATTGTTCGAATACAACATTGAGCTTACGTTCCGGATAAGGGAACATATACCGAAGTGGATCCTGTGTGAAACAGAAACATAGCCCTACCTTATTAAAGTCCAGCCGCTGCGTAAGACATTGACATCCTCAATAAGTAAACATCTATAAATCGGCAAACCCTGACAATGTTCACCCAACGATTGTCCAACCGCCTGCTGATAATCTACAGTATCCCGTCTTGGAACTTTTCAATTGTTCTCTTCGGGAAGACTGGCCACCACAAGACTGGAAAGAGCATACCATGGCGGCAATTCATAAGGGGGCTCCGAGTCCGTCTCACCTAACTATAGGCCTGTCAGTCTAACGCGTGTTCTGCTTACTTCCCTGGAGAAGCTTAATGGGCACCGAATTTGCGAACACTTGGTCGTTAACAAGTTAATCGTGGCTTCGTTAGAAAAAAATTCATGTCTTACAAACCTGTTGCGGTTTTTGGACGGAAAAACTAGATGCCTTGGTATAGATGTTTCCGTGGAGGTCTGATAGCAGTACTTCGGTAAAGCATTAAGCTTGGTTAATCATTGATTTTTATTGAATGTTGATTTGGTTCGGACTGCATCATCCAGTGATGGCTGGGTTGTCGGGATTTCTCTGTGGCAGAACCTTCCATGTCAGGAATGCCGATAGTTGGCGACATCCGGTTCCGGATTTGTCTGTCACTGCGGCCGCCATAGGACAGCCACAAGACGCCTGCGGTTCCAGAGAGCCCATGAGTGGCTTTCGCTATGTTACCCACAGCTCCATCCACACACGCCATATCTGGTGTAAACCCGAAGGAATAAGACCGGGAGACAGGTGGATGGGAGCCACATTTCATCAACGGAGCAGGCACACACTCATTTAACAAGTAAAGCAGAAGCATTCATGCAAAAATGGAATTGTGCATACCAGACGTGCACAAGATGTTGGGTGAACTGTAGTCCATTACACATTAGATGTGTGGAACCACTCTTTGAGCCTACCACGGTCACGAGGACCGTGATTCCCGTCCCCTTCAGCAACGAACAGCTGTCTCCTGAAGGGAGTATAGACGAGGTGGTGGGTAATAGACAGGTAGTCACCTTGGCAACATTCACACATCAAGCGCAGCCGCACCGAGAATATCAACAAACAACAAATCCCTGAAATGCAAGAAAATGAACACGCAGGCACACGTACGAACCGACTGTAACGGTGATGCGGCATACGAACCACATCAACCGCCTTAGTTGCCTGGGTTAGTAAATAGAATGGAAGCGGACGCGGCGCACCTACCAACTGTTACGCTGATCATGCTTAGGTAATCAGTTAACTCGTCGTCTTTTGGATCCTAGCCACAAGTGATAACGCTGGTGGCTTACCAAACCCACTTGGCTCAGGCACTCGCGACCGTATGTGCTAAAGCACCATGTATTTGAGGTCCATAGGGTAGACTCCACCGGCACCTGTCGTTCCCGTACCCAGCGTTTCTCCTCCGCGTGCAATAGTTCCTTCTCATGCACCTGCGCAACTGCCCTTCTGACCAGCTCACGCCATTCGTGCTTTGATCCTCAACACTTGAAATCAACATTAATTCATGATAAACCCACCTTGATCATGTCCTGGTACCGTAACTTCGGTTTTCCCACATGCCGCTTTCCTGCATTATGTTCTCTATATAGGAGCTGCTTGGGTATCCATGTCGAATCTATGCGGCTAATATGCCCCAGCCACCAAAACAGAAGGACACAGTCCCCCGCGGCGCAGCAGTCCCTTGCCTGCAACAGTGTCGCACCAACCGATGCGCAGAATCTGTCGAATCAACACCGTTGATGGAAGCGCTCTAGATACCTGACGTCCTTTCGATACAACGTCACGTTCCGCTGCCGTATAGGAAAACAGACAACACTATCGACTTGTATACCAGCAGCTTCGTACCAGCGATATGCTGGAGGTTGTTCCACACACCCTTATCAAACTTTTCAAACGCGGAAGCCGCTTTCGACACGAGGACACCTAGCTCGATCGTTATTTGCAAATCGTCGAAAAGTACAATATCCAGCTAGCGAAATCTAGGAGTGGTTTCCAAGAAGTCACCACCGATATGGATTCGCGGTAAACATACAAAGAAAATTAGTAGTGTAGACTGAAAAAGACAAGCAATCTTGCTTATGTTGATGGTGAGCCCGAATTTGACCGCTGTCTAACTGAGAGTCAGAGTCATGTGCTGCAACTCACCCGCGCTGTGTGCATACAACGCACAGTCGTCGGCAGATAGCAACATACAGATGTTTGTCTCATACTCTATGGTTCTCACCCCGAAACGACGAATGTTCAGCAACCCACCATCAATGCGGTGTTCCAAACGGACATCGTAATCATTATCAATATCAAAGGCACAGGACATCATTGTATGGAGGTAAATATTAGACAGGGTAGGGACTAAGACACAGCCTTGCTTCACACCAGAGATAACAGCAAAGTCATCCGAGGTTTGTCCACAGAGTTACACCCTCGCCTGCATACCATAATGAAATATTCAAGTAAATTTACACACTTACTTGGACAATCAAACTTATTCAACACCAGCCGCAGTGCCTCGGGGTTCACCGTACCAAATGTTTTGGTGAAGTCTATAAACAACCAGTACAACGGCTGGTGTCGCTCCGTGCATTACTCGTTCAGCTGATCAGCCGGGAACACCATATCTATGGTGCTGCGGCCCGAACGGAATCTACATTGCTCTTCCACTACGTGCGGCTCAATGACCTGAGTGACGAAGCGGTTGAGCAGGATTCGGACGATTACCTTCCCCACACAACTTAGCGAGTCGATGCCACGATAATTCGTGCAACATAGCTTGCTTCCATTGCATCTGTACAGTGGTGGCACAAGGGGGTCCTTCATCTCAGCGGACACTTCCTCTTCAATTCACACGCGTTACGCCAAGTGGTGTAGCGCATGCATCAACACTTCTGGCGATATGCCATCGGCTCCGGCGCACATGCCGTTTCGCAGCTGAGCAAGGGTTCATTGCGT